CACTGTAAAGCTCAACACCATTGGCTGTGTTACCAATAGTTCCAATACTGGTTACTTTGCATATAACATATTGCACATACAGAATAAACGATAAACTTATCAAATATGATGCACTGTTACAAAATAAACTACCCATCTGTCACATTTTGTGTAGAGAACACCAGGCAGAGAGGACTCAAATGCACACAGGGCAATAAAGGACATTCAGTACATCAGTGAAAAGTGTGAACTGGCTTACTGCAAGTCTGAACAAACAGATTCCAAACCTCTAGGCAACTGAAGACAGACAGGGGGCACACAGCAGGCAAAGTCAGCAATCTGACAAAGCTGCTTATACATTCATGCATCATAATCCAACAATATAATATATAAAGATATACGACTTACAGGGGCCATTCTGTTACATAAATACTACAATACTTTTGTTGAAAAAATGAAGATGGGATCTAGGACAAGGCTAGATTTGTGATCGTGTCCCTTTCTAGCAAAGACTGTTAACAAGCTAAATTAAATTTGGTCAGTGTATTCATTTTATTATTTTTATGCCATAAAAATCTCCCAGAAGTCTCAGTTTTGTTTGGTAAGCGATACATTTTAAATGAAACCGCACCAGGAGAATAGCAGTGGCACAAACATAATGAAGCTTTATCACATACCTATATATACATACTTGCCCTGTACAGATCAATATGTAGCATTGGAATCAGTTCACCACAAGGACTTTGTGTATATGACCAGTGTAATGATTAAGTATATAATTAACATGTAATGAATCAACAGCATCATTGTAATGTGTAAACTCATGTAGATTTAACAAACCTCTGTTTGGAATCTTTTATTCGGTTCAAATGGTCAGTGCTAACTTTATGACAGCCATAGTTTCTAAATTAGATTTAAGTGTTTAGATATCAGTACCTGCCAACATTACCAGGCCGTAGGACATGATTACAGGCTGCTTTGGATATTTCAGAGATGTCCCATAGACATGAGTCAGGTGAGTCACACACAGTTAGTATTTAACTATTTTAAGAGATAGCATCACCATCTGTGGATCAAATGAAGGCACTGCCCTCCATCAGGTGTAATTGAAGTTTGAGAGACATAGGCCTCTGATCAATAAATACTGTAGCTATTCTCTCAGTCATAATGACAGCGGGCAGATAATTATGGCATCTAAAGACTAAAAAAGATCAGGAGCTGACTAAAGTACAATGAAACCTGCATCTTTTGAATTTAAATGCATGTAAAGTACAAAAGGGTTTGACCCTCCGACTAATGATATTTTATTGTCATAAAAATTTTCCCACTTTAGTCTCTTATTTAAATAAAGCCTACATCTTTTGAGGATCCTGTCTTGGAGTAAGTTAACTATTACCAGAAAAATATGGGATGGTATGTAATATCAAAATTAAAACTGAAAATAGTGATGTATAAATCATCTGTGTCCTGTATTACATTGAAAACAATACAGCAGCACATTATTGCATTATTTGATTTGATACCTCATCAGTTTTATTCTTTGTTCAACATAAACACTCACTTCATTTCTGATGCTGCAACACATTCCAAAAAAGCTGGATGGCTGCATTTCAGGGCCAGTAATGAGGTAAAACAATGAAATAATGACTCCATTTGAAACAGGTGATGTCAACAGGTGACTGCATCATGATTTGGTACAAAAGTGGCATCCAGGAAAGGCCGAGCCCTTTAGGAGCAAAGATGGGCCGAGGACCACCAGTTTGACAACATATGTGTGAGAAACTTGTGTTTAAATATTTAAAAAAAAAGTTCCTCAAAGAAAGATAGGAAGGGATTCTTCCTGTTTAGTGTGTAGAAAGCCTGTTGCTTTAGACAAAAGGGTAACCACGAGATAAACAGCAGTATAAAAATGAATACTGTTGACACAAGCATCTTCCTCATCTTCTTTACAGGTTCCCTCTGTCATTCATTATAGTTGTACAGGAGCGGGAACATTTGGATCAGCATAGGTATAAAGCAGTTACAACTCTGAGCCGTCACTACCCACAGCTGAGCAGTAATGATGGTAACCCTATATAACCCTAAAGTAAATGAAAGAGTTACCTTATTACCAAACACAGGATTGATTAACAGGTCTTTCAAAACACTCTAACATGATACTGTACAACAGCTAAATCTCCACATTTATTTTTAGCTATTATTGTTTTCTAAGGCTCGGTAATATTTGGAATATGCTTTACAAATTTGAATATACTTCAAATTCAGGTGGTTGCAGATATTACTGATTGGGCCAGACTATTAATAGAATAATATTGTTGTAACTAAAATGAACAGCACTAAAAATGCATTTCCTCCACACTGTGCTTTACAATAGAAGCCACTGGATCAGATTTAGAGAAAATCTGCTAGATTATCTTAAAACCAGAGCTGTGGTTTCCTGCCCAGGCTTCCTGTCCTTTTATCACAAACTTTATGTAGTGAAACATGTCTTTAGTTCCACATGCCTTAAAACATTTCATATTTTCCTCTGCATAAATTAATTGTTTTGGCCACTTGGGGGCAGCTCAAAAAGCTATACGGACATTTTATCATCTTATAAAGTTGTTTTCTAGCAGTTATGGAGAAATATTACCATTCATTTGGGGTTAGATTTGTGCCAAACTGGCAAAACCAATATTCACTCTGCTCTGTTCTGGTCTCCACCAGATCCTGAGAAAAATATCTGGCTTTGCTAAATGCTTCTCTGTGTTCACCAACTAGTTGCAAACTGTGTCGTGCTGTTTGGTGCTGGTAGGACACAGTGAGTTTATCTGGCTTCTTTACCTTGCCTTTCCACTAAAATGCCCACCTGCTGTGGCTCAAAATGAAACTCGTGAGAGAGGTGAGAGTGAGAGTGAACCAAAACAGTAACATTACAGGCCAGGATGCCCAAGCTGAGAAAGGTTGAAAAGCTTCATACCGCTGAGTCGAACTATGGAGCTGGGTAACAAGGTTCTGCGGGTTAGTGTGATAGCTCCAGCATCTTGACACTTGAAAAGAGTGCATGCTTTATATGCTCCATATACAGTAAATCCCTTTTAAACTGCTCACCTACCCACACCCTTCTGGCAAAGATCACACAATTTATGTAACTATTACAACACAATGAATGCCTTCCTGGAGGGACTGTCCAAGTGTGTGACATTAATCCCATGTGATATCGTATCCCTCGCAGGGTTTACCTTCTCTTTGAGTGTGGCCATTAGAAACAGCTGTAAACATTTTTGTTGTTACATGTTGTAGGAGCAGTTGTTGGTGCTTTTCTAGCACAACCTGACCCTAACCCCCTTCCTTCTTTTCACTAGACCCCTGGGGCACGTGCACCGGCACATCAAGCTCCTGTGTTTGTCAGTGGATTAATTTAGATTGTTAATAACGGCAAAAGATATGATTTGTTGTTCTAATCCAGAATGTCAAAGCAGCAGTGGTTAGGGTTCATACACCAAGGTGTGCACATATGCACGTTGTAGCTGGAGCACTGCAGTGAGCATGCAGCAATCCATGTATTGTGCACAAAACAAAAGAAAGGAATGGACTGAGATATGAGATGGGGACTAATTTAAGTTTTTGAATAACACTGATGATCTTATATTGACTCAGACATTATTGACTCCTGTAGATGGACATGAGAAAATTCTTCAGAGGAGGCCACGACAGGGAGATGAGGATGACAGGTGAGATCTGGCTGTAGTTGGTAAACAAGACAACCTTCATTTAGTTTGCTACTGCATAACCAGGCACGGATGTTGAACGGATGTTGAAATTATAGCTCTGTACATCAGTGCATATGATCAATGCATATGACTTCTTAAAACGCTATTTATCAGTGTAAGAATACATAATGCATCACATGTTAACGTCAGACTACTCATTCTGCATTTAATGAATAGTCTTTAATATATTTTTCACAAAGTCCAAATATTGTTTGTTTGGTGAACCTGAGGAAGGAAGGGAGAGTGTCTGTGTCTGTGGAGACAGGTGTGTGACCAGCCATCCACTGCACAGAACAATTTCAGAGTAATTGGAGCATCAACATGTTATGTGGCCTTAAGAAAAAGAAGGACTCAGGAGAAGGCTGAAAAGAATTCCTTTCTTTTGTTTTGTGCACAATACATGGATTGCTGCATGCTCACTGCAGTGCTCCAGCTACAACATGCATGACGTGCATACTGTATGTGCACACCTTGGTGTATGAACCCTAACCACTGCTGCTTTGACATTCTGGATTAGAACAACAAATCAAATCTTTTGCCGTTATTAACAATCTAAATTAATCCACTGACAAACATAGGAGCTTGATGTGACGGTGCACGTGCCCCAGGGGTCTAGTGGTGCCTGTGGGCTTATATGTCTTTCACATGTAAACTAATTTGTCAGACAAAATATTGCCTATTGTGTTCGTAATAATTTTTACTTTGGTACATATTAAAACAATTTGTGTAAGATGTAAAGACTAATTTAATTATTAGCTACGGGTCATAAATGGCAGATCATAAATCTGAGCAAAATTCTTTTGGAGGTCTGTTGTAGGAAATATGATCAGAGCCAGATTCTCTTATGGCCTAAGTTACTGCTACAAAATGATGTCATCACTGGGTACAATAATAAAGAACAGGACATGTTCCAACAAGTTCCTCAGGACCTGTACAGCAGGAACAAAGGTGTCAGGAAGGATGCCAGAGAAGGGAATATCAGATAGAAATGAAATGTGACATAGTTGATATTAAAGTGTTTTAAAATTATGTGAAATGTCAACTACTTCAAAAATACTTCTGCTTTGTTTATAAAACATAAAAGCCAATTATAATTCTCCAAATAGGACAGGTGGCCTATTTGGTCCTCAGGCTTGTGCAGCATTAAATGCAAGTGTTCTAATAACAAACGCATACTAAAAAGAAAACTTGTAACTCCATTTATCATCACTGGAGTACTGATACTGTATATGATGATATAGAATAGACAGGAACTACAGTACAGCCTCTGGGGTTTCTACATAAAAACATGTACCATTAAATATAATACAGCTGCATTCCACAACATATAGAAACACGTGGAAGAATCCGAGATGAACATGCTGCTACTAGAAGATAACTTAATTACTGCCAGCCAGTCCAGAGAACAGCAGGAAGGAGACTGTCTTGGTGTAGCTGATATACCTGGTAGAACTTTTACTGTAGAAACCCAAGACATCGTAGTTGCACTTAGACAAGGAGACAGCAGTGAACTAATTTTGGCCACGATGAAGTTTGTAGCATGCTTAACCCTCCTCACCTCCGCTGTTTATGCAGGTCTGCTGAGAAAAGGACTAACTTGTTCACAGGTGTGTGATGCTTCTCATTGCCCTGTCCCACAAGTCTGTTACTATGGGCAGGTGAAGGACGGGTGCGGCTGCTGCCTGGTGTGCGCTCCCGGTGAGGGTGAAGCGTGCGTGGAGCAGAGCGGCGGCCTCTCCTGCGGCCACGGCCTGCGGTGCCTCTCGGTGCCGGGGACGGAAGGAGCACTCCACAGCTCCTGTGTGTGCGCCTCCTCCGGCCCGGTGTGCGGCAGCGACGGAAGGACTTACCCCAGCATCTGCCGCCTGAGAGCCGAGAACAGGAGAGCCAAGCTCGGAGAGACCGCCCCGGTCTTTCTGATCCAGAGAGGTCGCTGTGGTTTAGGTGAATTACTCTTTGCTTCTTTCTCCCACAACTTTTCAGAACACAGGACCAGCATTGTTTAAAATGGGAACAACAGAATATATTATATCTGAACGAAACAAAAAGTAAAAATGTATAAAGGTCGCCCATGAATAATGAAGAAATAGCCTAAAAACGAACAAACTGCTCCAACACACCACGAGTTCTAGGACACTGACAGCCTACAGGAGTTACCTAGATGGACTGTGGCCCTGTGGGGAAATATTGTGGAGTAGTGCAGTTAGATAAAACAGAATTGTATTGTAGCATTGTAAAGAAAGCTCGAAGACCAGAGCTTGTCTTTTTCTCACATCATTCACAACAAGTGAAACCGCACAGCAACACAACTCACACCAGGCACACTAACAATCCCGCCAACCCATAGCTCTATTACATTCTTGTGACGCCGCCAAGTGTATGGCCGCCCCCAACACTACAGTATATTTTGGTATAAAAAAAAGCCAAGAGAATAATCAAAAAATAAATTAGTTTACAAATGAGCTTGAGGCTGATCTTTAGTAGGCACTAGTAAACTGTACAGGCTAGCCTGACAGCAGGGGTCATAGTAAGGACATTTATTTTAGTTCAAAGAGCCCATGACATGCTTTTCCTTGTTTTCTGACTTATCTACAATGTTACAATAATGAATTATCATCTTAGGCGTGACCTAAACCTAAAAAAATCAAGTATACATATGTTCTAGTACTTCTATGCAGAAGCAACTTGGTTTATACACATCTCGCAAACTCTCACTCGCAAGACTTTATTTCTAATAAAATAGTTTAAGGATTTTCTTCAATGGTCATAATCTACAGGCCGTTGCATGTTCATGTGAGCTTGCCTGACATGCACCGGTGCCATTGTAAAAGCTGAATTTTTCGACTGTGCCCAGTTTTGTGGATATATTTTACCTCCTGCTGCTGCACTGTGACCAGAGGATGTGGAGAAAAATACAGGGCCTGAGGTTACTACATGTCTGGGAATGTTCACGTACAAGGACTCACTGTTTCACCTGACCGGGTCTAACCTACGATCAGCCAGCCTGTGAAGCCCCCACGGAGGTGAATGATCAGCTCATCAATGCTGGATTTGACTGTTTGGGGCCATGTGTGTCTGCTGCATGTGATGTTCTGCTAGTTAAGGAGCTGAATCTAATGATCCATGATGTTATTGTGGGTGCTACGCTACCTGTTGGAATTAATTTTGCTACTTTGGGACTGTATGTGGTCGTGTGGGAGAAGACGCAGCGACCACCGGTTGGATTTACTGACCTTGGAGCTACTTGAAAGGGAGTGATGTTTCCAATACTCAGTGGAACTTAACGGTAAATAAATAAAAAAAAACATGTTACATGTCTGTTAATGCCTTGTTTCTGTAACATTAGAGAGAATTGTTGTAAGGCTGGAGAAGTTACTATGTCTGCATTATGCCAGTTAAAATATGGGGTTTCTCACTTACCTGCGTTGTTTAGAGTGTTACACATCTCTTTTCATCAGTACATCAGAATCAGCTTTATTTGCCAGGTGTGTTGGACATGAGGAATTTGACTCTGGTACAAGGGCCAGGAGATTTTGGCCAAATAGTCACACAAAAGCTACAAAAATGCAACATGTTACATTTTGGTTTTTATATGGATTAAGCAAAGGAGAGGTTAGTGCTGTTGTAGCTTGATTTGGATACGTTAAAACAGAGCCAGGCTTGCTGTTGCCCCCCTGTTTCCAGTTCCTCTGCTAATCTAAACTGACCATCCACTGGGTGTAGTCTTTCTGGACAGATATGGTGGTTCAGTTTTGTCCATTCTTTTTTTAATGACCACAGTGATGTTATATCTGTCTGGATCTAGAACTGAATTAATTGTGTTGCGATAAAGGAGCCATTGTGCTCCAAAACATTCCCTTAAAGGGTAGAGATGTAAAATACACCTAGATTTTTTTAAATGTTTCTTTTGCGTGTGGCACTTAAACATTATATTCCTCTTACTTGAAAAGCTAATATTACAGAGACAGTGTAAGACTGTTGTATTGGATGAAAATGATCTTCAGTATATCTGGAATATGCATCCTACCTGAAAGGTTGATATAGTGTTCCTCAAATGTTCTTTATGCTCATGTTCAGAAGAGCAACATGAAAAAGTACAGTCACAAATTCTCTAGTGATGGTGTTTAATTCTCCTGAGGAAATCGCAGCAACTCACCGCTGTGCAAATATATCCTCTTAATTTTCCCATTCTGTCCAATTCATTTTCATAATGTGCAGTTTCTTATCATAGCTGAGGAGCAGAGGAGAAAGAATACATCATGTGTTAGACCTCCTGCTCTCCTGTGCAAGCAGGTATGCAAAAGCTCATAAATGCAGAAGAAGCATGAAGTAGAAAATGACTAATAAATGAGAAACACATACTTCTTTGGTGTTGACTTTTAATGAAGCCTGGTTACAAGTCACTGGAGGAAACCCATATGTGACCTTTGTGATAGACCAGGATGTGACCAGAATTAACTATGCAAGTTGGCCTTGCAAAATGGCGCATTGTCCTTTTCACTCTGTAGGGATTTAATAAAAGAAATATAATGCAGTCACCCAGTTCCCTGGGAACTACTTTAATGTCAGATAATTCCACATGTCGCAATTTACGGTCAATGCCAACATTTAATGCTATGGCAAGAAGTAGTGTGCTCTTTATGTAATGACACACAAAAGCAGGTTTGTGTGAGGTGGGGCATTGGATGGGTGTCAGATACCAGAGTCTAATGATTACAGTATTATGTAGTGTAACCAGAAACTTTCCCTATACCTGTAACTATATTGTACTTCACATGTACAAATACAATATAGAAAGCAAGAGTTTTTAAAATGTTGGCACTGGATATAAGAAGACGTTGTCATTGCATGTAATCCAGGGTTTTTCTGATTTGTATAACACTGATGCTTTTTTGCACAGTAAGATTGGCTGTGTCGTCTGTCACCACTGTTTGTCAGTTTCAGTTGCATTTTTGCAACCGCGTGGATATAATGTGAATTGGGGTGTGACAGAAGTGATAAAATAATATGCGTAAATTATCACAAAAGTATTTTAAAAGGGTGTCATATCATTATGTACTCTGTTTCATGTGTTGGTACTCTTTGTTACTGTGTATCTATATGTAATGTAAATCAAAAACCAGCTGTCACTAACATTATTTACGGCCCTACAGCAAAACCTCCAGACTCTAAATTTTTATGGACTAACAGCATCCACAGACCTGGCACAATACGAATGGGATCCTTACATAGTGTACTTTGTATGTGCTGTATGCTAAATGGTTTCCAGCAGAACGCATGCTGATTACATGTCAGAATTTATGTGACCTTCAGCCACTGCAGCTCTCACCAATCCACCAAAATAGAGAACTGTCAGGATTAACATTTTAGAGGTACTGCAGCTCTCACCAATCCACCAAAATGGAGAACTGTCAGGATTAACATGTTAGGGGCAGTTCTTCCACAGTGCAATAAATCTATGTTTTCCAGCATCACTAATGCACAGCATTTTCCCCAGCATCCACCATAATACCTAATAGACACTTCTTCTACCTTAAACCATTCATTCTGTCACTGGTTGGTTTAGTTTATTCCTATTAACTTTGATGTTGTCATTACATACAGAAGGTCATATCTTAATTTTCAGTATTATGAAAACTTCATGTTAAAGCTTTGGGAAACAATATTAATGTGGCAGTTCATTATACTATTCCAACTTTATTCATAGGCCCTGGTGCTCTCCACAGTCTGTCAATAAAAGCTGGGGTCACAGCAATATTAATTCACCAGTTTCACTGCAGTTTATATGAGTTCACAGTATGTGACATTATACATGATTGAATCTATAACCTTGTAAAGAAAAATTAAAAATAATACAAAAGGTCACACAGTTCTCAAAGGCTCACTTAAATGGCATTTTAATGATTGTGTACGATTACAATATGCACAAGACAGCATGAAATCATTTAAATGAGATACAGTTAGCAGATGTTAGAATGCTAAAATGCTGAACATGCTGTATTGTGCTGGACATAATTCTAAAATGATGAACATTACACTTGTCAAACATCAGGCATTGTGAGCATGTTAGTATGGTGCTGTGAACATTTATCTCATGGCTATAGACTCAAGTTTTAAAATAAAACCTTATAAAACACGATCATCAATCCCGGCGTGGCCAGAATGGGCAGTTTTCTGCACAACCAGGTTACGGTTTATGTAATTGTTTTGGGCAGGTTGTGACCAATTGGACTACTTTTTGAGTCATTTGGGTGGTTTCTTCCAATGAAACGCTAGGCTGTATTCCAGTGAATTCTAGTAAATCCAGCGAGTAGTGGGATTGAGATTGACAGGGCACTCCCTTATTTTCATTTATCCCTTATTTCAGTCATTATTCTGTCATTGTTCTGTGATTAAAGAGTTGCAAAAGCCTTCATCTGTTCATATTAATGACCTTGATTGTTTAATGTAACACTATCAATAAGAAAAGACTCATTGTCTTTTTTCAATAATTTTTTCAGTTGTGGTTTTAAGTTTGCCTAATTATACTGAAAGACCAGAAATGTAATGCATATACTGTATACAAATGTACTGTGGTTTTAGGAAATACTTTTTTTATACACCTCACTGTGTTGTTAAAGATGGATTATGGTGAGGCATCGTTCAGGTCAAGGGTGTAATAGGGAGCACAAGGGGCTCAATAATAATAAAATGGAAGAATTTTGTAGCCACCAGAGTCGAGCATCCAACCAAACAGAGTAACTGGGCAAGAAGGGTCTTGGTGAGGGAGGTGACCAAGTGCACAGCGGTCAGTCTAACAGAGCTTCAGAAGTCACGCCTGGGTGTATGTTTTGATTAGGCTACTTTTTGTCAGTCCAGTGTGACAACGCTGGTCAACTTCAGAAGTCACGCCTGGGTGTATGTTCTGATTAGGCTACTCGAACAATAGTTCGAGTGGTCTGTTCCATTTTATAACATTACAGTAATAGCTCACACAGTTGATAGTGATCAGCTGGAACGTCCCATCTGCAGACTGCCTTACAGTTCCCTTTAGAGCCTCACATAGATAGCTTTGACCTAAATGCAAATGTTTGCCAAAATATAGCTCAGTCAGTCAGCTTGTGTTACTAGATGACAAGTTTACTAGAAGACAAGATAGGGATCACCCAAGTCAGCAGGATTCTAGAGCTACACTGCTGTGTTGCTGAATCTGTAAGGTGTTGTAACATTTCATCTACTGTCTTGTATCCTCAAAGGAATACAACATTCAGAAAGTATGCGCTACAAGTTCAACTTCATTGCAGATGTCGTGGATAAGATTGCCCCAGCTGTGGTGCATCTGGAGCTGTTCCAACGGTAAAACTAAACCAAAGACAGAAAATTAAAAGGTTCACCTTCAGTGTTCATGCTCCTACAGGTACATAATGGTGTTTTGCCTTTCCTCTTGCTAGAGTGTCATTTTCCAGCGGGGAGGTCTCCGTGTCAAGTGGCTCTGGGTTTGTAGTGTCAGAGGATGGATGGATCATCACCAGTGCACACGTACTAAACAACAAGCAGAGGATAAAAGTCAAGATGAGGAGCGGTTTGCAGTACGATGCTACAGAGAAGGACGTGGACCAAAAGATGGACATCGCGCTCATCAAAATAGAACCAGATGTGAGTGCCTGCTGTTGCCAAGGGTCCTAGGCTAAATTATGACTTGTGTTTTCCTACTGTAGCATCAAAGAGTATTAATCCTACACACAGCTGGGTGGATGTTTAATGGAGAAAGACATCAGGGCCCACCAAAAGTAAGACTCTGTGCCTTTAGCATGTTCAATTTGTCATCTGAATTCTTCCGAGTGATATTTGGTCATAAGCTCAAAGCTTCAGCTACTTTGTGTGTATCAGTAAGTGCTGTGCAATATAAAATATGTAACTACTCAGACATGCTCTTACACAACCAGCTGCTTTGTATGGGGACTCTACTCCTGACCATTTCAGTTAGACTCCAACTCAGCATGAAGCACTCAACATTTTTAGTACCAATCTGAATACAAGAACACTATATCTGACTGTCCTAAGGGTGAAGGAAATATGTCTTTAAACAACCAGGGACTGGTGACAGCTGTACAATGCTATATCTGTCTGTGTTAGATTCCTTGCAGGAGTTCTAAAACCTGCCTAAAAGGCAAATTTGTCATGACAGAAGGCTCCATGCCCTGAGGATTGTGGCTATAAATTTGGCTGAGCAACCACCCCCAGAAATAAATGTCCCTGGCCTGGAATAAGAGGTGGCAAGTTGAGGCTTAGATTAGTTTATAGTCAACATAGTGTTGTTATTAATGTTGGCAGAATTGTTGCAATTCCTCCAGCTACCATAGGAGCATTGTTTAATGAGACAAACCTGAGTGGGAAAGGACAAATGACCATATGGATTTTATAGGACTAGGTTGGTGGACTTGTTGAAAGGAGCTATCAAGAGTAAGGAGGTGAATTAGTCATTTTAATTACGTACTAATAATGTTGACCTTAATATCAAGTGTATCCCAAAGAGGTACGTTGATAAGTACAATTCCTGTACAGTACAACTACTCACTAATTGAAATTTATGTTTCACAGTCATTTCTAACAGGCACAAGCTTCTCACTGAGATAATTTTATGAATGGAAGTAAACTTTACAACTGGGCCATGTTAGGAAAAAGTTTAGAATAAAAAATAAAGTAGTAATATTGTAAGGATAAAGTTGTAATAATCAGCCAAAACCACTCACAATATTTTTGAAAAAAAGATCAAATCAGGCATAGAGTTTTAATACTCCATACTGAAGAGGTGAGATTAGGTCAGGTTGCCTGTGTAAAATGAGTGGTGTTGATGACTTAAAACTATAGGTTTCAATAAATGCCTTGTAAGAGATTTCAAGATATTGAACTTAAAATGAAACCAGTTACATCATGTATGAGTTGACAGCAGCAGCTGGAGCAGTGCAGGGACATCTGAGCCAAAGGCAGCAGCCAGGGTATCGTGAAGTGGTTCAAGTTCAGTGGGCTTTATATAAATGTTAAGAAAGGCAGCCACAATCAAGTGTTAGATACGGCAGTTTGGTGTGATCTCAGGTAAAAGAGACCAGTATTGACTGTTGGTAGGAGTCAAGATGTGATCTAGAAAGGCTTGCCTGCTGACCCTAAATAGTCAAATAATATTACAATGCCTAGGACAGTAAGTAATGACATTATTTCTCCCAGCATGTGTTCCATTCCTGACAATGATTCCTTATTTATGGCTTGTCATGTTTTTGCATTTTGCTGCAGACTCCCCTGCCTGTGCTGCGTCTCGGCCAGTCCTCAGACCTGCGTCCCGGTGAGTTTGTGGTGGCAGTGGGAAGCCCTTTCTCCCTGCAGAATACCATCACCACTGGCATTATTAGCACAGCGCAACGCAATGGCTTAGAACTGGGCCTCAAGGACTCTGACATGGACTACATCCAAACTGATGCCACCATTAATGTCAGTGAAACAGTTTGCTGCTGCATTTTATCTCTCGACAGTTTTTGTTCTAAATCAATAATGAGCAAAAAAAAAAATGTTTTTTGTTTTTGTGATTCACAGTATGGTAACTCTGGTGGACCTCTTGTCAACTTGGTAAGAGAATTATAGTGCTATATCATGTGTAAAGGGAAATATCATTCCATTTGCATATTTCTTACCCTCTCTGCTATGTAGGCGATCGTTCTTGTTTTATTTATAACGGTGAGAGCTCAGGTCATGATTTTGTTTTATTTAATACCCAAAGTCCCCAGTCTACAGCCTCTGGTTCAAGATTAAGCCTCCCTCACAGTATTTTAAGACAAGACCTGATTATGGAGGCCTTTGCATTGTTACTGTTGAATCAAATCATACGAATGGTATATTCATTTATCAAGGCTGCTGCCTCCAGTTTTCTTTCTCCAAACATGCAGTTCTCTCTAAAGGAAAACAGTTGCCATACCGACGGTAAATAGTCCTTCACTGTAAAAGCACAATTACCAAGTCTTTAATAACTATATTATATGAAATGGAAGAATATGAGACATACAACTGCTGCTGTTCTGTTTCTTCATGTAGCAGAGCTATTTAAACCACCGAAGCATTTAAGACCACTGTCACATGGCTCGCCTTTATTTCTGTGTTTAACAGGATGGAGATGTAATAGGCATAAACACTCTGACAGTGGCAGGAGGAAATTTTTTTTTCCTTTCTGCAGATCAGTTCCTTGCTGAATCCTACAACAGACAAGTCAACGGTGAGCAAGCGCTTATGTTGGTGCTGTTGATTTAGTTACATTCTGTGGGAATTACTATATGAGCTAATTCATTTATTCATTCATCTGGTTTCAGGAAATGTGTCTCAAAAAAGGAAATACATAGGTATCCGAATGCTTCAACTCTCACCATCGTAAGTAAACATCAAAAAACTTATTTCAAATATACCACACCTTCACTCAAGATTCTGAGCCAAGCTAGCAGCTCCATGAGGCTGAGCCATGGATGTATTATAAAAACTGGACTCCAACATTCATTCATTTCATTTTTAATAATCAACACACACTAAAGTCATTTTCTAGGCTAAGAAAGAATTAAAGATATAAAACCTTTATGGTTTTATCTATAAGAAAAATACTTTTAGGGGCTGCAGATGGAAATGAATGCCTTTATAAAATGTCCTAGTAATTCAGTCTGGCTCAGTCTGCTAGAAATGAATGTATGTCTATGTAGAGACCTGGTAAGTGATGAAAACAAGTGTGTGTGTGTGTTTTTGTGTGAGACCTTGTTTATATACTTGTGGGGATGGAGCACACACACACACACACACACACACACACAGCTTTGTGGAGACCAGCAGGTGTAAGGTTAGAGCAAATGTCAGCTTTGGTTAAGCTTAGGTCAGGGTAAGGGTTAAGGTTAGTAGCACTTCTGGTTTTGGTTAGGGTAAGTAAGGGCTAACCCCACCAGACCTCTCCCTATTGTCTATCCTGTCTACCCTTGCTGTCCAGTAAGATTCATGGGACTCCAGAAACAGATTAAAGTCTGGCCAGAGGGAGTTGCTCCCACACTGCATGTTTAAAAACACAGCTTTCTACGGGCATGACACTGATCAGGGGTAATACACAGAGACTGTGAGGACAAGCAGTAAGAGGGCCTGGTGGGACTATGGGGGTTGGTGGTAAGGGAAGCAACTGATGAGAAGAGTGTTCAAACCAGTTTTCATGGCTATGCCAGTAGTGATCACAGGTCCTGAGCCCAATGGATGGAGGAGAGGAAGCCTGAGATCAAACTGGAGCTGGAAAGACCTTGTTAGGATAGTATAAGAAACTGATACAGCAGATTTACCACAGATGGCAAGTAGCTTAGCTGAAATTTTGACTTTGGTCTGACTGCTCCAGAACTGTCATGGAAGGGGGGGAGTATCACTATCAACCAAATCATCACCTGATTCAGATGTGTTCAGCTGCAGTTCAGGATCCCTAACTCTGCATTAGACTGAATTAAGGTGACTGAGTGATGAGCAGCTGGATGGGTTAATGAGGTATAAATGACATGTACAGGAGGTGGAGGTGTGGCTGAGGAGAGGTCCTGCTCCCAAACCAAATGATAGTGTTATCTCATTAGAGGTTTGGAGTAGCTTTGCATATGGCATGCAGTATGTAGACTAATCATCTAACAAACATATGAAAATCATGTTCCACTTATTATTTTCAATATTTTAATTACATTTACAAACTTATCTCACTTGGAATAATCTTTGTACGTTTCTCTAACACACAACCACAGTCACATTGTACTTGGATTATTTTTACAACATAGCATTTTTTAAAAGACCAGAATGACCAAAAATACATACTGTAGGATACATGTTTATATTTTTGTAATTTTTTTTTAAATATAAATAGAAGTGTGTTAGGGCTCCACAGGCAAACCGGTGCATGGTAAAAGGCTAATCCATCTTCATGTCCACTGTGTGTCCAGTTTGGTCCAAGATCTCAAGGAGCGTGATGGTGAATTTCCAGATGTGAGCTCAGGGGTTTACATTTATGAGGTAATACCTGGAACAGCTGCATCCAGGTAAGGGTCAAGCTACAGTCTCTTATATAGAGTGGTGTGAAAAAGACATTTCACTCACCTTGCATCTCCACAAGCACGGTAGAATATCACATCATATGCTTGTAACTGATATTAGCTGCCAGTGTTCTTTTTTTTTAAATAAATTAAATCCACCCCTCATATGATGGATGTAGACATATTGGTAGTGAATGAGAGAGCCATCACCTTTACTGATTTTAAGAAAATTTAAAGGTGCAATCACTATTAATCACTATTAATAAGTATTTTATATTGTAATGAATGATTATGTGCAGGGTCCAAACTTAATATCAGCCAAGTGCCACACTTGTATTCTGTGAAGATCAGCCCCTCCTCTGCCTCTGATTGGCTTTCAGAGCCAAGTGCAATAATATACTTAAGGTCACACATGTGAGGGATGCAGAAGCTGAAAAATGGGCAGTGTAATCAGCTGAATTGATTAAAACAGGAGAATTAGTTATAAAATAATTTGTGTAGGCACAGTGTGACACCTTTTGCTCAAGTCTGTCTCACCAATTATGTGACCGTAGCCAGATTAACTGATTAAATTTTGATTGATATAGTAAAAATAATTTTGCTTCAGATTTTGCTTTGGGCTCTTGGTGTTGTTGGTGTTCAACATAATACTTATCACATTATTTTGGCTGGTAAAAATATTTGGTGGTGGATTTATTTTTCATCTACTGCCCATCTTGGCTGGTGAGTTAAAAGGTTAATTTCGTACCCTGACTATGTGTTATGTGAAAAGTGTTGCTTGTAGTGAGAAACCTACAAAGACACAAACAAACAAGCAAACAATCTTGCTGTTTCCCTCAGCTCTATACTGTTTTGGGTCACTCTCACCGCTCTCATGTGAGGTTTCCAGCCACAGCAAGAAGCTGTTTTCAACAACAACAAAAAAAAACCTCTGATAAAACCATTGTTCACTACCTGTTCAAAGTTAGCATAGAGCTGCTAAACATAATAAAGCTTTTAGGAGTTAAAGAGCCAAATAGTCATTACTGTGACAGTGCTGGTTCACACAGAGCAGCATTAACATTCATTTGGTGTCAGGAGTCTAGCTGTCTGATGAGCAGGAAGAGCAGGGTTGGGTGATACATCTCTGTGGATTCATCAGTAACAAAAGCTTTTACACTACAAATCTGTCATCACCATTGCTAATAAAGAATACTGACTAGTTTTTATGCTGGATTTTAGTAATTGTTTTACATACTATATACTAGGGTTTCAGTTTAAAAGCCCTTAACCATAGCAATGTTAGAGTAATCATTAGCCTTAAAAATAATAACAAGTCCAGTCCTAACTGACACACGCACATGAAATTATTCATGTTATTTGCTTAAAATGTTGGTTCTTTGTGACATTATAAATATGCGTATTGTTCCCATATGTGAGTTTCAGACTAAGCTAATCAGTATGATGCATAGTAAGAGCTCGTGAAAGCACTAGGTTTTACAAATGCAATAGTAGCGCAGTGAACTGGCATTTGATGGCCTCAGGACATTTTTGGAGGTGTGGAATAAGATCATCCATGTAGTTCTCTAGGCTCAGATTGACCTGTGGTCCAGTTACTCAGTATAATTGTGCTTCCCACAGGCAAAGCTCTGACATCTTTCTCTTGGTGAAGACAGGATCTCTTTCTTTCGCTCCGATGCTTTAGAGTCACATCATTCTGAATAGTCCAGCGCCACACTCACACTGTAGCCTTGAGCTTTGTACAGCATACAGCAATAGTCAAATATACAACCATTACAGCAGATGATGTCCATTTATTGTCACTGTATCCCAGCATCCTCACTGTTATCTGATCCAATCTTTCATCCTGCTCTTGCATTTTTTTTTTATCAAAATGATCATCAGAAAGTGTAAATGCCTTAAACACAAATGTCAAGTAGTGCAGTGCCCTATAAAGCCATAACCCCACCACTTCTTTACTTTGTCTCTTATGGTGGAAGGGACCTTAAACAGCAACAGATTTGTTTAAAGATTGGTGATGTTTCCCTTTGGGTGGGGTGTGTTTTAATAAGGCTTTATGAATGGCACTGTTTTCTCCACAGAGCTGGCATGATCGGTCATGACGTCATCATTGACATTAACGGGCAGTCCATTCACACCACTCACGAAGTGAGCAAAGTCGTCCAGAGCGGCACCGTGCTTTCAGTGGTGGTGAGACGAAAGGACAGGGATGTTATGCTAACTATCATTCCTGAAGAGATGGACTGAAATGAATGGCAGTAAGTGTCAAAAACAGAAAAAATATACTTCGACCACTGGACTGTCAAAGCAGCAATGTGCCATGCATTACTGGGTTTGTGTTATGACTACACCTGGATACCAAAGATAGTAGCAGCAGGGAATATTTCAGTGATTCAAGATGTCAAGGTGTAAAAACCACATTTAGTCAGTTCCTCAGAACTGCTAGGCCTTCTGTCTAGAGCTGCAGCTTTATGCAGGTGGTCAGCAATCCCAGAAGATGGAATCATCTGAGGTGAAGACACAAATCCATCACATGACCCAACAAGACGTCCTGTTGTGACTGACAAAGGCAGCCATACACAATTGCAAACACACACCAGTGATCACAAATTAGATTATACAACTGGATATTTAAAGGTCCATACACCCTTTTTTTTAAATAAAAAAGCAGTGAGAAGGAAATGGAGAGTAAAATTAGACCAAAACAGCTATGTACTAGAGGTGGGAATCTTTGGAAAACTCACGCTTTGATTCGAATCTTGCGGTCACAATTCAATTCAACAGTTTGATTCAATTAAAAAAAAAAAAAAGAAAGAAGAGTACTATATTTTGGTTCTTACTCTAGTGATTTGTGTCCTGTGCCCATCAAAACTAAGTACTTTTACATACTGCTAGTATGCATGTTCTGTCAACATTAATACAAACATTGATTTTTAGCATTTGTGAATCGATTTATAATCATAGAAGATATGAATCACGATTATAATGTGAATTGATTTTGTCCTCCCACCCCTACTATGTACACCTGCTGCAGTAATAAACTCCAGAATTTGCTATAAAATAACTCCAGGAATGACCTGAACATCACAAACTGGTGGCTAAAAGACGAGTTAATTTAAATTGATGCAGATGGCCATGGTTTTATTTTCTCTGTCTGTACTCCAGTACAGTGCACCAGCAGTACATCCAGAGACAATGTACCAAATATTCTGGCTAATCCATAGGCCCCACTAGGAAGTATCACACTAGCTTACTCTGTGGATTATCCAAAATAACAAGGACACTGGGCCTCAATCAAGAACATTTTGATATTCTTCCCCTGAACCTCTCTTACTTTTTTGTCAGGGTTGCTCATGTTCTAAGTCAGATTCACACTCACTCAACTCTTAAATGACATGTTGTAAATTAACATGATGAATGAGATGAGATTTCATCATTATAATTGCCCCTAAAATGTAAGGCTGTCTGTTTGTGGGCAGGTTTCATTCACAAAAATGCTACAGGCTTTCACATGCAGTGAATAGCTGTTTCTAAAGCATAGTTGTCCATGTGTAATGTGAGAAATAGTCAGGTTTTCTGGTGAAATCAAGTAAGTTAATTGTTTATGAGCTGATCACAGTCAGTATGAACTGACTCTGGTAGCAGCCAAAAAGGATTTGAGGGGAAGCAAATTCTGTCTCTCCCTTTGTACATACACTATATTCTTATCAAGCATGCTGATATATGCTGTATTATGAATAAATAGTAGTGTCTACCTATCATTAGGCCAGTATCAATAACCTCAGTGCGTACAGTATGGTGTATTCCTTCTTGCACCAGCTTGAAAGGTAAAACCTTCTGCAGGATCTTCTCAGGACCTTCCACACAGCCACTGCTGAATCTGTTTTTGGCAGGTATTTTGCAGTTTGGATCTGCAACCACTTGAGAGGAACAGATTCCAGTGGACTGTCAAGTCAGTTGAGAAGATAACTTGCCTCTCTCAACTTGTCTCTCCACCATCCTCCCATGACATTATTCTGGGGTCAGGAAATGTGCTAGAAAAATCATCACTGACCCCTCATACCCTGCCCATCATATGTTTGAATTGTTCCCCTCCAGAAGGTGTTTTATGGCCTAAAACCAAAAACCACCCACCATACAGTAGGAACAGCTTTGTTCCCACAGGCCGTCTCTCTCATGCACAATAAACTGAAACCCTTTTGTGCTACCTCACTTTATAAAGAACTCCACTTTTTTGCTATATGCCTGTCCTTTATTTCTTCTAATTAATATTATTATTATTACATTATATATTATATATATTGTATAGATAGATAGATAATTCTGATTCTGCTGTATGTATGTAAATGTGGGCATTTTTGTACTATAGTACATTTATTTCTTTGATACATCTCATCTGAGTACTCAAATGTAATAAAATATTAAGAAAAACATAGATGGGTGAAAATATAAAGAATAATCCAACATAAATTATCTTTGTGAAGAGACTGGTTGATTGCAGCTGTCTGTATTATCAACATGAAATGCCCTCACATGCCATTTATTTTCTTTACATTCAACACATTAGTTACTGTAGCTTCACAAACTGGTGTAACCTTGATATCAGCAGTTTGTGTTTGCATGATGTCCCAGATGAGTACTGATACTTTACATGTAAATCAAGGTGTTCAACCTGTGTTTATGGGATCTGTCTCACCTCATCTGTGATAATGATTTTGATATGATACTGACTGAAAACTGAGATAAGGCTGGGCTTTTTGTGCTGAGGGAACTGGTAGTGTGTTAGCAATTAAGAAAAACTATAATTATAAATAACTACAAGTATAATTAATTATAAATAACTGGACTGCAATTAATGCACCATCTAATAAAGAATGGGTCTCTGAAACATAGCTTTTAGAATGCAAAGTAATGAGGCGGAATACTGAGACAGGGACTGCAGTGTAGGAATATTTCTATAATAAAATTTAACTTACATTTGTTTTCTGTTAAGCTGTTTTCTTCTCTCTGACTGTGCTGTTTTGGTACAGTGCCTATATAAAAAGTATTCACTCATCCAATTAAATAAAAATATGTAATGGGAAATAAGTCACTGCATAAATATTCACCCCCTTTAAAATGACTGACCTAATTCAACACAGGTCCCACCCATTGGTGCTAGTAGTCCCACAGTTAGTGATTAGGGATCACCAGAGTGCAGTGAATGTGTCTCAGGTGATTGTAGTATAAAGCTACCTGTGTCTAGAAGGTCCAGTCACTGGTTAATCAGTATTCCTGGCTACCATTACACCATGAAGACAAAAGAACACTCCAAGCAGCTCAGAGAAAAGGTTGTTGAAAAGTATAAGTCAGGGGATGGATACAAAAGGCATGTGGGAGACTCCATGGTCAAGTGGAAGAAGGTTCTTTGGTCTGATTAGACCAAAATAGTGCTTTTTGGCCATCAGACAAGACACTATGTTTGGCAGACACCAAACGCTGCACATCACCACAAACACACCATCCCCACTGTGAAGCGTAAGCGTGGTGGCAGCATCGTGCTGTGGGGACACTTCTCAGCAGTCGGCCCTGGAAGGCTTGTAAAGGTAGAGGGTAACATGAATGCAGTAAAATACAAGGAAAATCCTGCAGGACAAACTTATTCAGTCTGCAAGAGAAGATTTATTTCCCAGCAAGACAATGACCCAAAGCAAACAGCGAAAGCTACACACAAATGGTTTAAAAACAACAAGGTGAGTGTTCTAGAGTGGCCGAGTCAAAGCCCAGATCTCAATCCAATAGAGAATTTATTGCTAGACTTGTGAAGGGCTGTTCACCCCCGATCCCTGAGCAACCTGGCAGAGCTTGAGCAGTTTTGCCAAGAAGAATGGAGTAAAATTGCAGTGTCCAGATGTGCAAGCCTGATTGAGACCTATCCACACAGACTCAGTGCTGTGATTGCAGCCAAAGGTTCATCTACTAAATACTGACTTGAAGGGGGTGAATGTTTATGCTGTCACTTATTTCACAATACATATTTTTATTTAACTGACATTACTTACTGTAGAAACCTGTTTTCACTTTGACATTAGAGATTTTTTGGGAATTTTTTTTTCTTTGTTAATCTAAATTATATTGACCATGATGGATTTATAAAATCAATAAAAGGGTAAACATCCAAGGGGGTGAATACATTTTATAGGCACTGTATGTACAGTATGTACTCTATGTAGGTAAGACCAATGAGAACTGATAGATAGTGTTTGATAGTTAAGGGGTTGGGTTAGACTTGATAATGGGTTTGAGGGGTTAAAGGACACGAGCTAATTTTGACAGTTAATACTGTTTAGTAATAACAAAAATGTTATAGAGTATGTGCAACCCTAGATACATTCAAATATGTCAGGGCTAAGCTTCTGACCTTCGCTGAACCTTGAACCACTCTTGTAGGAGCATACCCAGTCCAACAGTGATGTTTTAAAATTTATATATTACAAAGTTCTATGGCACAGAGATATAAGATTAGGTGTTACACATACCACATAATATTTGTTAGATACAGTCATTGTTAAACATATGTGCCATAGACCTCCACTGTTGTTCAAAACCAATTAAAAACATCAGGGAAACACTGCTGCACTGGTTGACACGTTTATTCATTGTGAAACATTAGATCCTGATGTAATGTTGCCCCAAAGGGTCCAAACTGTTGTAACTTCTTATAACATCTGAAGTAAGCAAGAGTGAACGGGCCATGAATGAGATCTCTGGATATTCATAACAAATATTAGGGTCTGGTGTTTCATAATGAGGAAACACCAGTGCAGCAGTGCATGTGTTTAAGTTTTTGAACAACAAATGAGGTCTATGGCACAGACAAATAAATTAATCCAAGACTGACAGATTGACAAACAATAAGCATGAGTCAGGGTAAACTATTATTGGTTTTATTCTGTGTATGGGGACTGTTGAACCTTTAGCTCTGCCCAGTTTTTTGTGCAGCAGAGCCAGAGAAACTGCATTTTTACTGAACACATTCCTTATTAAAATCCAATGCCTACATTACACACAACGTTATCCCTTATGCTCCATTCAACAGTTTGATCTGAGATTTGGGTCTGCTATATTAGCAGCTAGCCCAGCACCTCAAGCAGAGGTGGAGCTACAGAAATCACTTCTTGCAAATTTCAGTCCACACCCAGAGATTTTTTTCCCTTTCTAAATTTGTTACTGTCAGATCCAGCTGTCGCTGACTAAAGTGGCATCACTTGAGCACATGCCACAAAAGATTTTATACAACTTCTTTCACATATGTAGTACTTAACAACACCTGCAACCTTATTTTGGGGTGCAAAATAGCTTGAGTCCCTCTTTCAAATAACAATAACAATATTTTATGAACACCAATTGCTATTACAAGCTGACAGCAACTGCTAAGAAATAGTGTAATAGCACAACGTGAAGAGAAGAAAACTTCAAGTAGTTAAAAACAATCAGTAGTATAAATTTCACAGCAATGAAGGAACTTTAGTTGCTCAATTAGCTATTCCAATCTTGTATCTTGAATCACTAGCATGAGACAACAGTATCTTTCACTGACATCCTACCCTGAAGAAATCACAGCCTATTAAATCTAATCAGAGAATTAAGAGAACACACTGTACCAGAAACTTTTAATTGAGTCATAAGGACTGTGAACAGTGACAAATACAACATGACACACTTTGGATTCCTTCTCACCATTTCAACAGGGGAGACTAGGTTTTCCAGGAGCACATTTGCAACAAGGGCACAGGAAAGATAGCCAGCAGGACAACCTGCATATCATTCTCTTTTCATTAAACTGTTCTTTTAGTTCAGGAGAAATGAGACAAATAAGATTATATCTGAAAAAGACATTATTCCTCAAATGTTCCCAGGAGCATGTCTGACTCAACACATAAAACATAAGGCAAATAAATAGTAAAGAGTATAAAATCCTTCCCAAGTTGAACCTCTGGTCAGCAGATCAGTTCATCTTAACAGGCAGAAACCCCAGAACAGGAAGCTTTGAAACAGGCATTAACACAGTACGATGCGTTTTATACTGACATAGGGTCATTCAGCAGAATTAGATTTGGATTTAGGAAAGAATTACAGCTAACAATGACATTCAGATTAAAGATCCTGTATAGGGAAAGTGGGTTATACCTTTTTCTAGATGTGTAAGACAGATATTGCAATATTGCAACATTTAAATCATAACTGCATTGCTTTCCTCGACCGATGATGTTTAGGCAGTTGAAAATACTGACTGCTAAATGCAAACCGCTGCTACTGCTGGATCAGAATAGTGGACACGCTGATGATCACGTCTTCACCTTTTATGATAAGACCTAAATGGGTTTATGAATCCTTAGGTAATAAGATCTGCTCTGACGGAGCACATAAAGCTTCAGTTCAGGTAAAGACCAGACGTTTAACAAAATGGAAGGTGAAGATTTGAATATTTAATGTAAGGCCTGAACCGAGCAGCATAAAGTCAGTGAAGACCAAAATTTGTTTTAGTTTGACACACTTGGACAGTCGGGCTCTTCACCTGAATGCAAATGAGGGAAATGTTCCAACACAGAAGAGATCTAGTTTGTTTGCTTTTGTTTTGTTTTTTTAGGAATTTACAGCTCGTGCCAAAACATTCGAGTCAATATTGAAAAGCACGAAATCATCACCTTGTCAACCTGACTGATGTGATCCCTATCCCTCTCTAGTTCTGTGTTGCTTGAGGCTGCAATGTTAAGTACAGTTGGAACACATTAAAGTAGCAGAGAAAATTCAGAATTCAGAACGCCTCCAGTAGAAGAGGAGGCAGCTTTGACCCTTAAAAAGGGTCAAAGCTGGGCTGTCTAGTAATTTCAAGAAGGATAGAAGCGATAACTCAGTGTAGGATGTTGGCCTCAGGAAATGGCAGAATACTTCTAAGATCACTTCTCAAGAGTTTAACTGGAACAGAGGACTCCAGGCCAGTACGCAAAACCATGCACGTGAACACCTTTAGCTAGGTTGTCTCACTCTGCAGTCAGCGAACAATGTGAAATAAGTGTAGAAGTTTTATGTAGCAGCAGCAAATGGTGCATCAAGAATGACTTGTGTTCATTACTCAAACCCCAAACTTTCCAGGAGATGAAGGTTCATGAGTCCACAATGGCTTTACTACCAGCCTAAATGAACCAAACTGACCCCGATGTACTTCACTTTTCAGTGTAAGATGAAGGTCAGTTTTCACTGCTGTAGTTCAGTTCTGAACCAACCATCTTTAGGTCCAGGTTGTGTTCACTCTTCTTACAAATAAACCAAGAGGAGTCCAACTGTCATCCTTGATCATCGGTGTAGCCTGGGCCTGTGTGGGGAAAACCGATTCTAAAGGCTGACAGCAAATCACACAGCACTTTACTGAACCTTGTGTGTTGCTTTATGTTCTTGAAACTCATAAGAAATAACTGATTTTGAGTATTACCTGTATACACTGCAACTGGGCCTTTTATATCATGGTGATAAATGAGGAGAAAGGAAGAAAAAGTATCCCTTCTTTTTACTCACCTTTAATTGAAGAACTGTTTAAATCCAGTGATTTAAGAAATAAGGTCACATTTGTTTTAATTTTCTGATTTATCAGAAAATGACATACCATATGTACTATCATAAAATCTTACGGATGGTTGTCTTGTTTCCATACTGCACCAGAGTCCAGTTAGAAGTGGACCAAAAGCCTCCACATGAGGTGATCACAGTCTGGTTGCTGTGTTCACAGTGGCATTAATACCAGCCTTATCGAACCAAACCGAGAAAGCAAATGCACTAGAATTTGTTAAAACTAATCAAACAGGTGTGAATGCATCCTTAGGATGCTTTCTGCTGCAGATTAAACAACTGGAGGAGACCCTCCTTATCAGGCATATCAGTCTGGATCCAAGTCAACTCTGGTGCAATTTGTGTGGATTTTACTATTTTATGATGATTAACATGTAATTTTAGCATGAATTCAACACTATTATTGAATCCATATACTGATAGTGAAAAGAAAAGAAAAGAAAACAATCATAAGTAATATACGTACACTCACTGGCCACTTCAGTGCAACACTTCCACCTTAACATCTACGTTTATGGTAAATGGACTGTATTTATATAGCGCTTTTATGCACTGGCCAAAGCACTTTACAGGGAGATTATACACCATTCACCCATTCACACACACATTCACGACAAGGCTGCCACACAACGGCACTAGTCAAGCCACCAGGAGCAATTTGGGGTTCAGTGTCTTGCTCAGGGACACTTAGGCATGCAGGGAGACCGGGAGTTGAACCACCAACTTACTGGTCAGGAGACAACTGCCCTACCTCGTGAGCCACAGCCACCCGTTTAGAGGTGTTCCTAATATTCAGAGCCTCTCCTGTATGTAGCTGGGGAGGACGAAAATATAGATACCTCAGAATATAATGTAGTCCAATACAACACCTCCTTTAACTATGACCTCAATAATAAACATTTATGACAATTTCACCAAAAACTAAAAGACTGAGCTTCATAAACACAGACATTAAGGGGGAAGTATTGCACTGAAGTGTATATTAGGTACACTTGTACAGTTGTAAAGTGAGTGGTGAGTGTATATGTATGGTAATTCATATGTAACCATGGTAACATGGTGATCCCCCCCACACACACACTAGTTAAAACAGAGGT